TGCATCTGCAAATGTTTGTGAGGGCTTTAGTTGCCAAGCCAAATTTCTTCAGCCTCTTGAGGTTGAAGAGGTGCTGTTGCGCCTTCTTCACCACACTGTCTGTGTGGGTGGACCATTTCAGTTAGTCAGTGATGTGTACGCCAAGGAACTTAAAGCTTTCCACATTCTCCACTGCGGTCCTGTCGATGTGGATAGGGGGGTGCACCCTCTGCTGTTTCCTGAAGTCCACGATCATCTCCTTTATTTTGTTGATGTTGAGTGAGAGGTTATTTTCCTGGCACCACTCTCCCAGAGCCCTCACCTCCTCCCTGAAGGCTATCTCGTATTTGTTGGTAATCAGGCCTGCTACTGTTGTGTCATCTGCAAACTTGATGATTGAGTTGGAGGCGTGCTTGGCCACGCAGTCATGGGTGAACAGGGAGTACAGGAGGGGGCTGAGCACGCACCCTTGTGGGGCCCCAGTGTTGAGGATCAGCAAAGTGGAGATGTTGTTTCCTACCTTCACCACCTGGGGTCGGCCCGTCAGGAAGTCCAGGACCCAGTTGCACAGCGCGGGGTTCAGACCCAGGGCCCGAGCTTAATGATGAGCTTGGAGGGTACTATGGTGTTGAAGGCTGAGCTATAGTCAATGAACAGCATTCTTACATAGGTATTCCTCTCGTTCAGATGGGATAGGGCAGTGTGCAGTGCGATGGCGATTGTATCGTCTGTGGATCTATTGGGTCGGTAAGCAAATTGAGTGGGTCTAGGGTGTCAGGTAAGGTGGAGATGATATGATCCTTAACTAGCCTCTCAAAGTACTTCATGATGACAGAGGTGAGCGCTACGGGGCGATCGACGTTTAGTTCAGAAGCTCCAGACTAGACTAGAGTGATGATACCCGAGTTTGATGTTTGACCACTGACCTTTCCAACCAAAAGATGGTAACCCAAAGCTAGTTTGACCCATACAGTCTATGGGAGATACGAGTTCCCGAGATACCATTTGAAAACACCAATAAACCAACACTTAGCACCTGTAGAGGATAAGACTGACATTAATGATAACTATCAGACTTTTATAACTTATCAAGCTTATTGGGTTCCCGAGTAGCGCAGCGGTCTAAGGCACTGCATCTCAGTGCTTGAGGCGTCACTACAGACCCCCTGGTTCGATTCCAGGCTGTATCACAATCCGGCCGTGATTGGGAGTCCCATAGGTGCGGCGCACAATTGGCCCAGCGTCGTCCGGGTTTGGCCCGGTGTAGGCCGTCATTGTAAAATAAGAATTTGTTCTTAACTGACTTGCCTAGTTAAATAAAGGTTAAATAAAATAAGCATCACACTTTATAACAATTATCAAGCTTCCTCCTCCCCTGTAGTTGTAAAATAATGTCAGGTTAGCAGCTAGCTACCCAATGCTCTGATTCATGATCAGATATAACTGGTTACATTTACATTTACGTCATTTAGCAGACGCTTTTATCCAGAGCGACTTACAGTTAGTGAGTGCATACATCATTTTTTAAACTGGCCCCCCCATGGAATCGAACCCACATCCCTGGCGTTGCAAACGCCATGCTCTACCAACTGAGCTACATCCCTGCCGGTCATTCCCTCCCCTACCCTGGACGACGCTGGGCCAATTGTGCCGCCGCCCCATTGGTTGAGATCGAGGAAAAAGAACGGGTCATAACAAGGAAGTGGGCACATTGCTGAGCGTCAGGTAGCCTAGCGGTTAAACGTGTTGGGCCGCTAACCAAAAGGTAGCCTAGCGGTTAAACGTGTTGGGCCGCTAACCAAAAGGTAGCCGTAAGGGCGTTAGACGGTGTTGGCGCCCCTTAAACAAAAAGGTAGCCTATCGGTTAACTGTTTGGGCCGGTAACCAAAATGTAGCCTAGCGGTTAAACGTGTTGGGCCGCTAACCAAAGTTCGCCTAGCGGTTAAACGTGTTGGGCCGCTAACCAAAAGGTAGCCTAGCCGGTTAAACGTGTTGGCACGGTTAACCAAACGGTAGCCTAGCGGTTAAACTTTTTGGGCCTGTAACCAAAAGGTAGCCTAGCGGTTAAACGTGTTGGTCCGCTAACCAAAAAAGGGGTAAAAAAAAAAAAACAAAAGCGCTAGCGTAAACGTTTTTGGGCCGGTAACCCAAAAGTAGCTAGCGGTTAAAAAAACTGTGTTGGCCGCTAACCAAAGGGGCCAGCGTTAAAAAACGTGTTGGCGGTAACCAAAAGGTATCCTAAGCGTTAACCCGTGTTGGTCCGTTACCACAAGTATCCTAGCGGTTAAACGTGTTTGGGGCCGGTAACCAAAAGGTATCCTAGCGGTTAAAACGTGTTGGGCCGTTAACCAAAAGGTATCCTAGCGGTTAAACGTGTTGGCCGTAACCAAAGGTAGCCTATCGGTTAAACGTGTTGGGCGCTAACCAAAAGGTAGCCTAAGCGGTTACACTTGTTGGCCGGTAACCACAAGGGTATCCTAGCGGTTAAACGTTTGGGCCGGTACCAAAAGGTACCTAGGCGGTTAAACGTAAGTTGGGGCCGGTAACGCAAAAGGTAGCTAGCGGTTTAAAGGGTTGGGGTGTCCCGGTAACCAAGTAAGCCTACGGTTAAACCGTGTTGGGCCGGTAACCAAAGGTAGCCTAGCGGTTTTAAACGTGTTGGGCCCGGTAACCAAAAGGTACCTAGCGTTAAAGTGTGGGCCGGTTAACCAAAAAGGTAGCCACGGTTAAACGTGTTGGGCCCGGTACCACAAGGTAGCCCTAGCGGTTAAACGTGTTGGGCCGGTACCAAAAGGTGCCTAGCGTTAAACGTGTTGGCCGGTAACCAAAAGGTAGCCTAGCGGTTAAACGTGTTGGGCGGTAACCAAAAGGTAGCCTAGCGGTTAAACGTGTTGGGCCGGTAACCAAAAGGTAGCCTAGCGGTTAAACGTGTTGGGCCGGTAACCAAAAGGTAGCCTAGCGGTTAAACGTGTTGGGCCGGTAACCAAAAGGTAGCCTAGCGGTTAAACGTGTTGGGCCGGTAACCAAAAGGTAGCCTAGCGGTTAAACGTGTTGGGCCGGTAACCAAAAGGTAGCCTAGCGGTTAAACGTGTTGGGCCGGTAACCAAAAGGTAGCCTAGCGGTTAAACGTGTTGGGCCGCTAACCAAAAGGTAGCCTAGCGGTTAAACGTGTTGGGCCGGTAACCAAAAGGTAGCCTAGCGGTTAAACGTGTTGGGCCGGTAACCAAAAGGTAGCCTAGCGGTTAAACGTGTTGGGCCGGTAACCAAAAGGTAGCTTAGCGGTTTATTAAAGTGTTGGGCCCGGTAACCAAAAGGTAGCCTAGCGGTTAAACGTGTTGGGCCGGTAACCAAAAGGTTAGCCTAGCGGTTTTAAAGTGTTGGGCCGGTAACCAAAAGGTACCCCTAGCGGTTTTGTAAAACGTGTTGGGCCGGTAACCAAAAGGTAGCTAGCGGTTAAACGTGTGGGCGTAACCAAAAGGTAGCCTAGCGGTTTAAACGTGTTGGGCCGTAACCAAAAGGTTAGCCTAGCGGTTAAACGTGTTGGGGCCGGTAACCAAAAGGTAGCCTAGCGGTTTAAACGTGTTGGGCCGGTAACCAAAAGGTAGCCTAGCGGTTAAACGTGTTGGGCCGGTAACCAAAAGGTAGCCTAGCGGTTAAACGTGTTGGGCCGGTAACCAAAAGGTAGCCTAGCGGTTAAACGTGTTGGGCCGGTAACCAAAAGGTAGCCTAGCGGTTTAAACGTGTTGGGCCGTGAACCAAAAGGTAGCTAGCGGTTTAAACGTGTTGGGCGGTAACCAAAAGGTGCCTAGCGGTTAAACTGTTGGGGCCGGTAACCAAAAGGTAGCCTAGCGGTTAAAACGTGTTGGGCCGTAACCAAAAGGTAGCCTAGCGGTTAAACGTGTTGGGCCGGTAACCAAAAGGTAGCCTAGCGGTTAAACGTGTTGGGCCGGTAACCAAAAGGTAGCCTAGCGGTTAAACGTGTTGGGCCGCTAACCAAAAGGTAGCCTAGCGGTTAAACGTGTTGGGCCGGTAACCAAAAGGTAGCCTAGCGGTTAAACGTGTTGGGCCGGTAACCAAAGGTAGCCTAGCGGTTAAACGTGTTGGGCCGGTAACCAAAAGGTAGCCTAGCGGTTAAACGTGTTGGGCCGGTAACCAAAAGGTAGCCTAGCGGTTAAACGTGTTGGGCCGCTAACCAAAAGGTAGCCTAGCGGTTAAACGTGTTGGGCCGGTAACCAAAAGGTAGCCTAGCGGTTAAACGTGTTGGGCCGCTAACCAAAAGGTAGCCTAGCGGTTAAACGTGTTGGGCCGCTAACCAAAAGGTGCCTAGCGGTTAAAACGTGTTGGGGCCGGTAACCAAAAGGGTAGCCTAGCGGTAAAACGTGTTGGGCCGGTAACCAAAGGTAGCCTAGCGGTTAAAACGTGTTTGGGGGCCGTAACCAAAAGGTACCTAGCGGTTAAAACGTGTTGGGCCGGTAACCAAAAGGTAGCCTAGCGGTTTAAACGTGTTGGGCCGGTAACCAAAGGTAGCCTAGCGGTTTTAATTGTTTTTTAAACGTGTTGGGCCGGTAACCAAAAGGTAGCCTAGCGGTTAAACGTGTTGGGCCGTAACCAAAAGGTAGCCTAGCGGTTAAACGTGTTGGGCCGGTAACCAAAGGTAGCCTAGCGGTTAAACGTGTTGGGCCGGTAACCAAAAGGTAGCCTAGCGGTTAAACGTGTTGGGGCCCGGTAACCAAAGGGTAGTCTAAAGGTTGGGCCGGTAACCAAAAGGTAGCCTAGCGGTTAAACGTGTTGGGCCGGTAACCAAAAGGTAGCCTAGCGGTTAAACGTGTTGGGCCGGTAACCAAAAGGTAGCCTAGCGGTTAAACGTGTTGGGCCGGTAACCAAAAGGTAGCCTAGCGGTTATTAAACGTGTTGGGCCGGTAACCAAAAGGTAGCCTAGCGGTTTTAAACGTGTTGGGCCGTAACCAAAAGGTAGCCTAGCGGTTTAAACGTGTTGGGTGCCGGTAACCAAAAGGGGTAGCCTAGCGGTTAAACGTGTTGGGCCGGTAAACCAAAAGGTAGCCTGCGGTTAAAAAAACGATGTTGGGCCGGTAACCAAAAGGTATCCCTAAGCGGTTAAAAACGTGTTGGGCCGGTAACCAAAAGGTAGCCTAGCGGCTAAACGTGTTGGGCCGCTAACCAAAAGGTAGCCTAGCGAATCCCTGAGCCAACCAGGTAGCCTAGCAAATCCCTGAGCCAACTAGGTGAATAATCTGCCGATGTGCCCTTGAGCAAGGCACTTAACCCTAATTGCTCCTGTAAGTTGCTCTGGAGAAGAGCGTCTGCTAAATGACTAAAATGTAATGTAAATGTACTGGGTAACTGTAGGTCAGGTGGAATAGGCAAAACACTGGCAGACAGTTTTCACAACTGCTGTGCTGCCTCGGGTATTATCTAGCATGCCTACCTGAACCGTACTGTGCTGCCTCGGGTATTATCTAGCATGCCTACCTGAACCGTACTGTGCTGCCTCGGGTATTATCTAGCATGCTACCTGACCCGTGCTGTGCTGCCTCGGGTTATTATCTAGCATGCCTACCCTGAACCCGTACTGTGCTGCCTCGGGTATTATCTAGCATGCTACCTGAACCGTACTGTGCTGCCTCGGTATTATCTAGCATGCCTACCTGAACCGTACTGTGCTGCCTCGGGTATTATCTAGCATGCCTACCTGAACCGTACTGTGCTGCCTCGGGTATTATCTAGCATGCCTACCTGAACCGTACTGTGCTGCCTCGGGTATTATCCAGCATGCCTACCTGAACCGTACTGTGCTGCCTCGGGTATTATCTAGCATGCCTACCTGAACCGTGCTGTGCTGCCTCGGGTATTATCTAGCATGCCTACCTGAACCGTGCTGTGCTGCCTCGGGTATTATCTAGCATGCCTACCTGAACCGTGCTGTGCTGCCTCGGGTATTATCTAGCATGCCTACCTGAACCGTACTGTGCTGCCTCGGGTATTATCTGCCATGCCTACCTGAACCGTACTGTGCTGCCTCGGGTATTATCTAGCATGCCTACCTGAACCGTACTGTGTGCTCGGGTATTATCTAGCATGCCTACCTGAACCGTGCTGTGCTGCCTCGGGTATTATCTAGCATGCCTACCTGAACCCCTGCTGTGCTGCTCGGGTATATCTAGCATGCCTACCTGAACCGTCTGTGCTGCCTCGGGTTTTTATCTAGCTGCCTACCTGAACCGTGCTGTGCTGCCTCGGGTATTATCTAGCATGCCTACCTGAACCGTACTGTGCTGCCTCGGGTATTATCTAGCGTGCCTACCTGAACCGTACTGTGCTGCCTCGGGTATTATCTAGCGTGCCTACCTGAACCGTACTGTGCTGCCTCGGGTATTATCTAGCATGCCTACCTGAACCGTACTGTGCTGCCTCGGGTATTATCTAGCATGCCTACCTGAACCGTGCTGCTGCCTCGGGTATTATCTAGCATGCTACCTGAACGTAACCTGTTACTTGCTGCCTAGGTCGTGTTGTCGGGTATTATCTAGCATGCCTACCTGAACCGTACTGTGCTGCCTCGGGTATTATCTAGCATGCCTACCTGAACCGTACTGTGCTGCCTCGGGTATTATCTAGCATGCCTACCTGAACCGTACTGTGCTGCCTCGGGTATTATCTAGCATGCCTACCTGAACCGTACTGTGCTGCCTCGGGTATTATCTTTTCACATTGTCCTACAGCACGGTTCCAAAACTATGATGAATGCATAACCAGGACAGCCCTGGACAGCTCAGCTCAGCTCAGCTCAGCTCAGCTCAGTAGTGATACTAGTTAGGTACTGACCGTATGTGAGGATGAGGAGGAGGAAGGGTTTGTTTCGGAGCAGCCTGAGGATGGAGGCTGTGTAGGAGTACTGTTCTGGAGGGATGCAGCGAGCTGTGGCCTGGGCCTGGGTGGGAGGGAGCTCCGGACGCTCCTGGAACGCTACGGAGAAAGAGACAGATGGAGAGATAGAAAGATGGAGAGAGACGGAAAGAGACATCAGTAACATAGTCAAAAGGACTTAACGGGACATTTAAGAATGAATCCGAGTGGGTTATACAGAGAAGAAGATGCAGAGAGTATTCTGTAGGCCTTTACACTTGTACCAGTATATGGGTTGAAAATGGCTGGGACACTGATAAGCGCCTAAATTGGAACACATTGGCTGTACAATAACATGCTATACATGCTGTCAAAGCTCAGGATCTGCGCTTTCACAGCTTTAGCTAGGCATGTCGGCAATAGAACATGCTTTCAGATTATGCCCACCTGACCCAGATTGAGATTTGTAAACTGACCGCTTTTGGATTTTGGAAAACAACAGTAATTGTGTAAAGGCGGGGGATGCAGGGTTGTGTTCCAACCAAAACAACTACCAGCGTGCTTCACAGCTAGGAGAGCTAAAAAAAAAAAAAAAAGCACCTTATAGTTAAAGACTCTTCTTTGAGTCATAAAAGTGCATTGAAATGACTTTGGAGCTGTGCACACTTTGGAGAGGTGTGTGGCCACTTTTCCAAGTTAAACAGGATAAAGACACACACACACACACACACACACACACACACACACACAGAAAACCTGCTCACAAGAAGGACCACCGCGCCACCTTCCTGTTCAAGTGAGCACAGTCCAAAAAATGTATTGTATGCTGCTGCATAAATGATGTAATATGCCATATGTATACTGAAGCTAAGAAAGTAATACTAAGTGTATGTTGTGTAGTAAGCTGTTAGTAGCCCATGTGCCTCACCCTAATCATTTGGTCCCTTTCCCCTCATAACTTAGCCTACTGTTCTGACTTGGTGGTGCACATGTAGCCTATAGCCTGTTTTAGAGAAATGTAATCATCTAATATTGTAAGAGCTTTCATTGTCTGCTTATATGCCCCCTTTATTTATCCTACGGTTCTGACTTGGTGTACAGGGAGAACACTGTAAGAACGGCCCGTGTTCTGAATTCTGTCGCTGTACATTTCAAAAGTGCTGAACAAATAGTTATAATTGACTAAGTCCGTCGTCTTAGCTCGCTCAATGTCTTCATCGGAATTACGGCTTGCCTCTTATCAACTCATCGTTCCCTTATGCCATAGTCTGTACATCTCAATTGTTATATTGCTTATATAGGTCCATTTCATTAGTATCTTATTCATCGTTTTAGGTAATGTTGGAATGATGCATTTCATTGTTTTGCTTACGTATTATACTTAGCTCATGCTTTTCTTCGTGAGGACGGGATACTATATAATGTTGTTGGATCTGTAACCATGAGGACGGGATACTATATAATGTTGTTGGGTCTGTAACCATGAGGACGGGATACTATATAATGTTGTTGGGTCTGTAACCATGAGGAGGGGATACTATATAATGTTGTTGGGTCTGTAACCATGAGGACGGGATACTATATAATGTTGTTGGGTCTGTAACCATGAGGACGGGATACTATATAATGTTGTTGGGTCTGTAACCATGAGGACGGGATACTATATAATGTTGTTGGGTCTGTAACCATGAGGAGGGGATACTATATAATGCTGTTGGGTCTGTAACCATGAGGACGGGATACTATATAATGTTGTTGGGTCTGTAACCATGAGGAGGGGATACTATATAATGTTGTTGGGTCTGTAACCATGAGGACGGGATACTATATAATGCTGTTGGGTCTGTCACCATGAGGAGGGGATACTATATAATGTTGTTGGGTCTGTAACCATGAGGACGGGATACTATATAATGTTGTTGGGTCTGTAACCATGAGGACGGGATACTATATAATGTTGTTGGGTCTGTAACCATGAGGATGGGATACTATATAATGTTGTTGGGTCTGTAACCATGAGGAGGGGATACTATATAATGCTGTTGGGTCTGTAACCATGAGGAGGGGATACTATATAATGTTGTTGGGTCTGTAACCACGAGGAGGGGATACTATATAATGTTGTTGGGTCTGTAACCATGAGGACGGGATACTATATAATGTTGTTGGGTCTGTAACCATGAGGAGGGGATACTATATAATGTTGTTGGGTCTGTAACCATCAGGAGGGGATACTATATAATGTTGTTGGGTCTGTAACCATGAGGATGGGATACTATATAATGTTGTTGGGTCTGTAACCATGAGGACGGGATACTATATAATGCTGTTGGGTCTGTCACCATGAGGAGGGGATACTATATAATGTTGTTGGGTCTGTAACCATGAGGAGGGGATACTATATAATGCTGTTGGGTCTGTAACCATGAGGACGGGATACTATATAATGTTGTTGGGTCTGTAACCATGAGGACGGGATACTATATAATGTTGTTGGGTCTGTAACCATGAGGAGGGGATACTATATAATGCTGTTGGGTCTGTAACCATGAGGATGGGATACTATATAATGTTGTTGGGTCTGTAACCATGAGGACGGGATACTATATAATGTTGTTGGGTCTGTAACCATGAGGACGGGATACTATATAATGTTGTTGGGTCTGTAACCACGAGGAGGGGATACTATATAATGTTGTTGGGTCTGTAACCATGAGGAGGGGATACTATATAATGTTGTTGGGTCTGTAACCATGAGGAGGGGATACTATATAATGTTGTTGGGTCTGTAACCACGAGGAGGGGATACTATATAATGCTGTTGGGTCTGTAACCATGAGGAGGGGATACTATATAATGTTGTTGGGTCTGTAACCATGAGGATGGGATACTATATAATGTTGTTGGGTCTGTAACCATGAGGAGGGGATACTATATAATGTTGTTGGGTCTGTAACCATGAGGACGGGATACTATATAATGCTGTTGGGTCTGTAACCATGAGGAGGGGATACTATATAATGTTGTTGGGTCTGTAACCATGAGGAGGGGATACTATATAATGTTGTTGGGTCTGTAACCATGAGGACGGGATACTATATAATGTTGTTGGGTCTGTAACCATGAGGAAGGGATACTATATAAATGTTGTTGGGTCTGTAACCATGAGGACGGGATACTATATAAATGTTGTTGGGTCTGTAGCCATGTTTGCCAGTGAGTCTGTTCCCATTCAAATATTTTTTTTCAACAACAAGTTCAGTAGGCTAATAGACCATGTAATTGTGGTTGATATTGCGACAGTTGTTCTGTTTGTACAATGCGTGTCGGTATATTGTCTATAAAAGTGGAACCTCGTGATTGTATTTTCCTTCCTTTTTAGACCACATACAGTGGGGAAAAAAAGTCTTTAGTCAGCCACCAATTGTGCAAGTTCTCCCACTTAAAAAGATGAGAGAGGCCTGTAATTTTCATCATAGGTACACGTCAACTATGACAGACAAAATGAGGAAAAAAAATCCAGAAAATCACATTGTAGGATTTTTAATGAATTGATTTGCAAATTATGGTGGAAAATAAGTATTTGGTCAATAACAAAAGTTTCTCAATACTTTGTTATATACCCTTTGTTGGCAATGACACAGGTCAAACGTTTTCTGTAAGTCTTCACAAGGTTTTCACACACTGTTGCTGGTATTTTGGCCCATTCCTCCATGCAGAGCAGTGATGTTTTGGGGCTGTCGCTGGGCAACACAGACTTTCAACTCCCACCAAAGATTTTCTATGGGGTTGAGATCTGGAGACTGGCTAGGCCACTCCAGGACCTTGAAATGCTTCTTACGAAGCCACTCCTTCGTTGCCCGGGCGGTGTGTTTGGGATCATTGTCATGCTGAAAGACCCAGCCACGTTTCATCTTCAATGCCCTTGCTGATGGAAGGAGGTTTTCACTCAAAATCTCACAATACATGGCCCCATTCATTCTTTCCTTTACACGGATCAGTCGTCCTGGTCCCTTTGCAGAAAAACAGCCCCAACGCATGATGTTTCCACCCCCATGCTTCACAGTAGGTATGGTGTTCTTTGGATGCAACTCAGCATTCTTTGTCCTCCAAACACAACGAGTTGAGTTTTTTACCAAAAAGTTATATTTTGGTTTCATCTGACCATATGACATTCTCCCAATCCTCTTCTGGATCATCCAAATGTACTCTAGCAAACGTCAGACGGGCCTGGACATGTACTGGCTTAAGCAGGGGTACACATCTGGCACTGCAGGATTTGAGTCCCTGGCGGTGTAGTGTGTTACTGATGGTAGGCTTTGTTACTTTGGTCCCAGCTCTCTGCAGGTCATTCACTAGGTCCCCCCGTGTGGTTCTGGGATTTTTGCTCACCGTTCTTGTGATCATTTTGACCCCACGGGGTGAGATCTGCGTGGAGCCCCAGATCGAGGGAGATTATCAGTGGTCTTGTATGTCTTCCATTTCCTAATAATTGCTCCCACAGTTGATTTCTTCAAACCAAGCTGCTTACCTATTGCAGATTCAGTCTTCCCAGCCTGGTGCAGGTCTACAATTTTGTTTCTGGTGTCCTTTGACAGCTCTTTGGTCTTGGCAATAGTGGAGTTTGGAGTGTGACTGTTTGAGGTTGTGGACAGGTGTCTTTTATACTGATAACAAGTTCAAACAGGTGCCATTAATACGGGTAACGAGTGGAGGACAGAGGAGCCTCTTAAAGAATAAGTTACAGGTCTGTGAGAGCCAGAAATCTTGCTTTTTTGTAGGTGACCAAATACTTATTTTCCACCATAATTTGCAAATAAAATCATTAAAAATCCAACAATGTCATTTTCTGGAGAAAAAAAATCTCAATTTGTCTGTCATAGTTGACGTGTACCTATGATGAAAATTACAGGCCTCTCTCATCTTTTTAAGTGGGAGAACTTGCACAATTGGTGGCTGACTAAATACTTTTTTCCCCCACTGTATGCAGTGCCACCTCTGCCTATACACAGACTACGCGCACCTTCTATCTCTCTCTACGCCCAATAAGAGAAAGGGGAGCTAGCTAGAGATAGGTAGTGTGAGGCATAGGTATATAGGTATGATGTGGCATTGTAGATTGGTCTGTATGTCTGTATGCTCTGTCTGTATGTATATCTTGTATGTTACATGTCTGTCTGTGTCTCTGTAGTCTGTATAGTGCAGAGGAGACGGCGCCCACCCCAATCCCTCCCCGTCAATCATAGTCATCCACACCTTGTCCTCCACTGACACCCCATGACTGTTCTCCACTCTCCACAACACAATTAACCCATTTCCCTATCATGTATGTCGGTCTTTCTGGCTGTATGGCGTTGTATGTCTGGCTGTAGGTCGGGATGTCTGTCTGTCTGTCGCTATGTAGGTAGCGCTGATCTATCTATCGATCTATATAGTGTAGGGAGAGATAGAGGAGAGAGAGAAGAGAGAGAGAGAGAGAGAGAGAGAGGGAGAGAGAGCAGAGGAGGGAGCGAGAAGAGAGAAGAGAGAGAGAGAGAGAGCGAGAGAGAGAGAGATAGAGAGAGAGAGAGAGAGAGAGAGAGAGAGGAAGAGGAGAGAGAGAGATAGAGAGAAGAGAGCGCGAGAGAGTCTATCGATCTGATGAGAGACGAGTGATAGTAGAGGCGTCGCGCGAGCGAGCGAGCGTAGAGAGAGAGAGAGAGAGATATAGATAGATACATCTCTATATCACTCGTACTATATACTCTCTCTACTCTCTCTCTCTCTCGCTTCTCTCTCGGCGCTATCTCTCTCTAGATCTCTCTATATCTATCTCTATATATCTATCTCTCTCTCTCTATCTCTCTCTCTCTCTCTCTGCTCTCTCTCTCCTCTCTCTCTCTCTCTCTCAGGCTAGTCTTAATGATATAAGAACAAACATGATGAATCTACTGAACATAAATGTTATAATGTTTGTGTATGGTTCAAAAGTCCAAACTCATGTCGCCGTTATTATTGAAGGAGAATGCAGTTCTTATAGAGTTACACAAATCCACAAGGAGTCAGCAGAAACCATATTTATTTAGTATGTCAGCCATATCAGTTATGTATGTTTTTTTTTTAAGGCAGTAAATGAGGCTGAATGAACAGTTTCGCTGCCAGACGAGGCTCCGCCGGTAGCCAGGTGTAGCGGTGAAAAGTATTCAGTCACTCCATGGTGCTGAAAAGAAAGCTCCGCTGTCGGGACAGCTTTATGTAGGCCCTAACCGTTTGTAGGGCACCATTTGTCACCATTATAGTGCAATTAATGTATTGTTTAGCGTTGTGTTGTGGTTTTGCTGGCATGCATCTAAAAAAAATAATAATGTTGCGTTCGCCCCCACCAAGATATACAGTACATCCTAAAATCGCCACTGCTCCCATAGGAGATACAATGCATTCAGAATGTATTCACACCCCTTGCCTTTTTCCACATTTTGTTGTGTTACAGCCTGAATTTAAAATGGATTACATTTAGATTTTGTCACTGGCCTACACACAATACCCCATAATGTCAAAGTGGAACTATGAGGCCATGGCTGTGATTGGAGAAAACTGAGGATGGATCAACAACATTGTAGTTACTCCACAATACTAACCTAATTGACAGAGTGAAAAGAAGGAAGCCTGTACTGAATAAAAAATATTCCAAAACATGCATCCTGTTTGCAACAAGGCACTAAAGTAATACTGCAAAGCAATTCACTTTTTGTCCTGAATACAAAGTGTTATGTTTGGGGCAAATCCAATACAACACATTACTGAGTACCACTCTCCATATTTTCAAGCATAGTGTTGGCTGCATCTTGTTATGGGTGTGCTTGTAATTGTTAAGGACTAGAGAGTTTTTCAGGATAAAAAAATAAACAGAATGGAGCTAAGCACAGGCAAAATCCTAGTTGGAAAACCTGGTTCAGTCTGCTTTCCAACAGACACTGGGAGATTAATTCACCTTTCAGCAGGACAATAACCTACAACACATAGCCAAATCTACACTGGAGTTGCTTACCAAGAAGACAGTGAATGTTCCTGAGTGGCCGAGTTACAGTTTCGACTTAAATCGGCTTGGAAATCTATGGCAAGACTTGAAAATGTTTGTCTAGAAATGATCAACAACCAATTTGACAGAGCTTTAATAATTTAGAAAATAATTGGCAAATACTGTACAATCCAGGTGTGAAAAGCTCTTAGAATCACCTTTGGCAGTGATTATAGCTCTGACATGTATTGACTCAGGGGTGTGAATACTTATGTAAATTAGATACTTCAGTATTTTATTTTCAATAAATTTGCTAACATTTCTAAAAACATGTTATCACTTTGTTATTATGGAGTATTGTGTGTAAATGGGTGTGGGGAAAAAATATATATATTTAATCCATTTTGAATTCAGTCTGTAACAACAAAATGTGGAATAAGTCAAGGGGTATGAATACTTTCTGAATACACTGTAGGTCAAACAAGTACAGTTCACCACTCCTGTCCACAGGCTTTTTAGGCTTTTAACTATTAAGATACAAAGTCTACAAAGACCGTCACTAAGGGCTCTTTCTATAGTGTGCCTGCCTCAAGGACGTTCATCGTGGCTTTCAAGGACTAAAAGACACAGAACAACAGGAACAAAGAAACTGCTGTGTCCGGAATGGCACCTCTTTTACCCATGAGCCCATGGGCCAAAGCAGTGAATAGGGTGACATTTCGGTCAGGCCCTAGTCTCCGACCCAAAGGAATGTCAACTGTGGTATCCTGCCTGACTGTGACATGACGTGCTTCAAGCTGACTTTCTCTTGAGATAGCAGGCTTTCAGCAAGGAGTCTGGGGGGTGGGGGGGGAGAAATGCTGCAGATGTCTTTGTGGTTCTTATCTCGGAGCTAGTGCTCCCTGGGGTGTCTCAACCAGAAGGGGACATTAGTGAGCTAGTCCTCCCTGGGGTGTCTCAACCAGCAGGGGACATAGTGAGCTAGTGCCTCCCTGGGGTGTCTCAACCAGAAGGGGACATCAGTGAGCTAGTCCTCCCTGGGGTGTCTCAACCAGAAGGGGACATCAGTGAGCTAGTCCTCCCTGGGGTGTCTCAACCAGAAGGGACATCAGTGAGCTAGTCCTCCCTGGGGTGTCTCAACCAGAAGGGGACATCAGTGAGCTAGTCCTCCCTGGGGTGTCTCAACCAGAAGGGGACATCAGTGAGCTAGTCCTCCCTGGGGTGTCTCAACCAGAAGGGGACATCAGTGAGCTAGTCCTCCCTGGGGTGTCTCAACCAGAAGGGGACATCAGTGAGCTAGTCCTCCTGGGTGTCTCAACCAGAAGGGGACATCAGTGAGCTAGTCCTCCCTGGGGTGTCTCAACCAGAAGGGGACATCAGTGAGCTAGTCCTCCCTGGGGTGTCTCAACCAGAAGGGGACATCAGTGAGCTAGTCCTCCCTGGGGTGTCTCAACCAGAAGGGGACATCAGTGACTAGTCCCTGGGTGTCTCAACAGAGGGGACATCAGTGAGCTAGTCCTCCCTGGGGTGTCTCAACAAAGGCCGGAGCGCTCCCTGGGGTGTCTCAACCAGAAGGGGACATCAGTGAGCTAGTCCTCCCTGGGGTGTCTCAACCAGCAGGGGATATTTTACATTTACATTTTAGTCATTCAGCAGACGCTCTTATCCAGAGCGACTTACAGTTAGTGAGTGCATACATTTTTCATACTGGCCCCCCGTGGGAAACGAACCCACAACCCTGGCGTTGCAAGCGCCATGCTCTACCAACTGAGCTACAGAAGGGATATCAGTGAGCTAGCCCTCCCTGGGGTTCTCAACCAGGGGGACATCAGTGAGCTAGTCCTCCCTGGGGTGTCTATCAACCAGAGGTGACATCAGTGAGCTAGTCACTCCCGGGTGTCTCAACCACAGGGACATCATTTATGCACATCCTGGCTGCTTAAGACCATACGTGTGTGAACCTCAGTCACTAGCCTACCACGGGGCCCAAGACCCTAACCAGCAGGGCGCAATGTACCACTAGTACACAGACAGACGCCTACCACAGACCCAGACCCTTACCACAGGCCAGGCCCTACCACAGCTCACTAGACCCTACCACAGTCAAGACTGAACCCACAACCCAAGACCCTATGCACAGACCCATGACCTATCCACAGAGCCTAACACAGGTAGACCTATCCACAGACCAAGACCCTACCCGAGCCAAGACCCTAACCAACAGCCCACAAGACCCTAACACGGCAAAACCTACCACAGACCCAAGACCTAACCACAGACCCAAGACCCTAACCACAGACCCCAAGACCCTTACCACAGGCCCAAGACCCTTACTACAGGCCCAAGACCCTAACCACAGACCCAAGACCCTAACCACAGACCCAAGACCCTAACCACAGATCCAAGACCCTATCCACAGGCCCAAGACCCTAACCACAGGCCCAAGACCCTAACCACAGGCCCTAACCACAGATCCAAGACCCTTACCACAGGCCCAAGACCCTATCCACAGACCCAAGACCCTAACCACAGATCCAAGACCCTATCCACAGGCCCAAGACCCTAACCACAGGCCCAAGACCCTAACCACAGGCCCTAACCACAGATCCAAGACCCTTACCACAGGCCCAAGACCCTATCCACAGACCCAAGACCCTATCCACAGACCCTAACCACAGTCCCAAGACCCTATCCACAGACCCAAGACCCTAACCACAGACCCAAGACCCTATCCACAGGCCCAAGACCCTAACCACAGGCCCAAGACCCTAACCACAGGCCCAAGACCCTAACCACAGACCCAAGACCCTAACCACAGACCCAAGACCCTAACCACAGGCCCAAGACCCTAACCACAGACCCAAGACCCTATCCACAGACCCTAACCACAGTCCCAAGACCCTTACCACAGGCCCAAGACCCTAACCACAGGCCCAAGACCCTAACCACAGACCCAAGACCCTATCCACAGGCCCAAGACCCTAACCACAGGCCCAAGACCCTTACCACAGGCCCAAGACCCTATCCACAGACCCAAGACCCTATCCACAGACCCTAACCACAGTCCCAAGACCCTAACCACAGACCCAAGACCCTAACCACAGACCCAATACCCTAACCACAGACCCAAGACCCTAACCACAGACCCAAGACCCTAACCACAGACCCAAGACCCTAACCACAGACCCAAGACCCTAACCACAGACCCTAACCACAGACCCAAGACCCTAACCACAGACCGTAACCACAGACCCAAGACCCTAACCACAGACCCAAGACCCTAACCACAGGCCCAAGACCCTAACCACAGACCCTAACCACAGTCCCAAGACCCTAACCACAAACCCAAGACCCTAACCACAGTCCCAAGACCCTAACCACAGGCCCAAGACCCTAACCACAGACCCTAACCACAGTCCCAAGACCCCTAACCACAGACCCAAGACCCCTAACCACAGACCCAAGACCCTAACCACAGTCCCAAGACCCTAACCACATACCCTAACCTCAGTCCCAAGACCCTTACCACAGGCCCAAGACCCTAACCACAGGCCCAAGACCCTAACCACAGACCCTAACCACAGACCCTAACCTCAGACCCAAGACCCTAACCACAAACCCAAGACATTGAAAGGCCCTGTGATAGACTAGTGTCCTGTCTAGGCAGTGTTCTTAACCAGCAAGCTACAGAAACAGGAGATGGGTTCCTATGGGCTGTTCTGACTTGGACAAGGCTACTCGCTTCCCTTACAAGACATTGAAACTAAATGGCTTGTTGGAGTGGAATGAAGCAGTCTTAGAAATGGCTTTGTACTCAACTAGTATACATACACAGTACTGTATGAGTCAATGTACTGGAAACCCTGGCAAGGCCTGGAAAACATGTTGCATCATTTGCATCCTCAACACATCATTGTACTCTTGCAGATAAACCGAAACCTAAGAACTGGCCTTCAGCCATTTATAGAGGAGATTCATATAGGCCCAAAGGCTATTGTCTGAACACACAAATATTGTAAGGTGGTTTAACATGTTTTGCCTCAGTCTTGTAATTGGTGCTTTCAGAACTTGTAGGAGAGCGGTCAAACAAGTACAGCTCACCATTCCAGTCAACAGGCTTTTAGCTAGCTGACCCCCAAAAAAATAATGCTTATAGGATTAAAAGACGGTCACAATAACAAAAAAGTAAAAAAAAAGTAAACGTCAACTGTGGAATCCTGACTGTTACATGACGTGCTTCGAGCTGACTTTCTCCCGAGAGAGCAGGAGGTCTGACTGGAGTCAGGGGGCAGAGAGCTGCTACAGATATCTTTGTGTGCAGATGTCTCTGTTCTTATCTCTGGGTCTTCCCTGGGGTGTCTCAACCAGCAGGAGTGTACTCTTTGCCAAGTACTGTCAACTAAAATTGTCCTCACTGAACAGGCACCCCCCCCAGCTACACTCAGACTCAAGACATCAACCACAGACTCAAGGCCCTGCGATGGACTAGCGTCCAGGGAGTGTACTTGTACACTCTACAGAAACAGGAGATAGGGCCCAATGGGCCATTCTGGCTTGTACAAGGCTACTTACCTACTTACTTACTTACAAGACATTGAAACTAAGTGCTCGTTGGAGTGTAATGAAGCTGTTCTAGATATACCTTAGTACTCAGCTAGTATGCATGTAAAGTCCTATGAGTCAATCTACTGAAAACCCTGGCAAGGCAAATGCCACATTCAGGCTAATATTCACATCTTAAACTCATTGTTGTACTCTTCCAGATTCACACAGATACATATAAAAACACCTTAAAACGTGCCTGTCATCAACTTATGTCCTCCTTCATCCTTTGAGAGACACAGCACCAAAAATGGCAACATTCCCATCTAGACAACCGTCTCCGCTGTTGCACAACATTCCCATCTAGACAACGGTTTCCGCTGTTGCACAACATTCCCATCTAGACAACCGTCTCCGCTGTTGCACAACATTCTGGCAACATTCCCATCTAGACAACCGTCTCTGCTGTTGCACAACATTCCCATCTAGACAACCGTCTCCGCTGTTGCACAACATTCCCATCTAGACAACCGTCTCCGCTGTTGCACAACATTCTGGCAACATTCCCATCTAGACAACTCTCTCCGCTGTTGCACAACATTCCGATCTAGACAACCGTCTCCGCTGTTGCACAACATTCCGGCAACATTCCCATCTAGACAACCGTCTCCGCTGTTGCACAACATTCCGGCAACATTCCCATCTAGACAACCGTCTCCGCTGTTGCACAACATTCCCATCTAGACAACCGTCTCCGCTGTTGCACAACATTCCGGCAACATTCCCATCTAGACAACCGTCTCCGCTGTTGCACAACATTCTCCACCTGGCACACACACTTTGTTTTGCGGGGCATGACTCAGGCCCCCCCCAGATGGCCCAGACAAACATGGCCTCTAGTGACCAAACAGAGAGACTCGAGTGACCAGTTAATATGAATTCACTAGATGGAGCAAAAGAAGACAAGAGCCTTACTCAGACTGCATTAACCCTCTGCCTTTTAGCCCAATACAGCATCTCCACTAAGCCTACCTGTAGGCTACATCCTCCTTTATCATCTTTCCAGTTCCTTTATGTAGCACTTCACCAGCAAGACAGTTTCTGCATCCCAATCGGCACCCCTATCCTTTATATAGTGCACTACTTTTGACCAGGGCCCACAGGCACTTAGTGCACTCTATAGGAGGTGTAATTTGGGACAAAGACAGTACCAGCTATTGAGTGAAATCAGGTCATCTGAAAATAAACATTAGAATGAGTAGGCTGAATAGCTCATAGTGCGACCTGTATGTAGGTTAGAGTGGTTATGGTTAGGGATGGGAAAAAAACTCAAAATAAAAAAAATTCAATGACTGTTAAAGTGCATTCGGAAAGTATTCAGACCCCTTGACTTTTCCACATTTTGTTACATCACAGCCTTATTCTAAAATGGATTAAATAAATAAAAATCCTCAGCAATCTACACATAATACCCCATAATAACAAAGCATAAACAGGTTTTTTGAAAGTTTTGCAAATTTGATAAAAATAAAATAAATAAATAAATACCTTATTTACATAAGTATTCAGACCCTTTGCTATGAGACTCGAACTTGAGCTCAGGTGCATCCTGTTTCCATTGATCATCCTTGAGATGTTTCTACAACTTGATTGGAGTCCACCTGTGGTAAATTCAAGTGATTGGACATGATTTGGAAAGGCACACACCTGTCTATATAAGGTCCCACAGTTGACAGTGCATGTCAGAGCAAAAACCAAGCCATGAGGTTGAAGGAATTGTCCGTAGAGCTCCGAGACAGGATTGTGTCGAGGCACAGATCTGGGGAAGGGTACCAAAAAATGTCTGCAGCATTGAAGGTCCCCAAGAACAGTGGCCTCCATCATTCTTAAATGGAAGAAGTTTGGAACCACCAAGACTCTTCCTATAGCTGGCCGCCCGGCCAGAACTGAGCAATCAGGGCGAGAAAGGCCACGGTCAGGGAGGTGACCAAGGACCCGATGGTCCTTCTGACAGAGCCCTAGAGTTCCTCTGTGGAGATGGGAGAACTTTCCAGAAAGACAACCATCTCTGCAGCACTCCCCCAATCAGGCCTTTATGGTAGAGTGGCCAGATGGAAGCCACTCCTCAGTAAAAGCACATGACAGCCCGCTTGGAGTTTGCCAAAGGGCACCTAAAGACCATGAGAAACAAGATTCTCTGGTCTGATGAAACCAAGATTGAACTCTTTGGCCTGAATGCCAAGCATCACGTCTGGAGGAAACCTGGCACCATCCAGGTTTCAGCGCCAGGGACTGGGAGACTAGTCAGGATCGAGGCAAAGATGAACGGAGTGCAGCCTTGGTGAAAAGCGCTCTGGAGCAGGTTAGGACCTCAGACTGGGGCAAAGATTCACCTTCCAACAGGACAACGACCCTAAGCACACAGCCAAGACAACGCAGGAGTAGCTTCAGGAGAAGTCTCTGAATGACCTTGAGTGGCCCAGCCAGAGCCCGAAATTGAACCCGATCAAACAGCTCTGCAGAGACCTGAAAATAGCTGTGCAGCGACGCTCCCCATCCCACCTGACAGAGCATGAGAGGATCTGCAGAGAAGAATGGGAGGAACTCCCCAAATACAGGTGTGCCAAGCTTGTAGCGTCATACCCAAGAAGACTTGAGGCTGTAATCGCTGCCAAAAGGTGCTTCAACAAAGTACTGAGTAAAGGGTCTGAATACTTATGTAAATGAAATATTTAAGTTTTTTATTTTTAATAAATTAGCAAAATTTTCTAAAAACCAGTTTTTGCTTTGTCATTATGGAGTATTGTGTGTAGATTGAGGGGGAAAAAACGATTTAATCAATTTTAGAATAAGGCTGTAACCCAACAAAATGAGGAAAAAGTCAAGACTTTTGAATACTTTCCCAAGGCACTGTACATATCGCAATATTATTTTGGACGATATTATATAGATACTTAGATACCAAGTATCGATTAGTAAAAAATATATTTGATTTATTAAATGTTTTGCTAGGTAGCGTTAGCTAGCGCTAGTCGGCTGTACCTGCGCCAAAACTCCTGGTATCTTTTTAAAATAATGAGACACGTTTTCAGCACTTACTTCAATTACTGATCAAAACTCATTTTCTCACGCTCTCTCGTCCCTCTGCAGCAGACATGTAGTGAGCAGTATGTTTGGAACATCAAAATCGCAATAAAATAGCAGTAGCGAATCTCAACACATATAGAATCGTGAGAGTCGCAATAATATCGTATTTGCGAGGTCCCTGGCAATTCCCAGGCCTAGTTACAGTGGTTAAGTAGTATCACTGTGCTGCACCAGGTTACCAGGTCTCTGTTAGTTCAAGTAGCTGCACTGGGAACACAAGTCACTTTTCATATTCATCATCTCCAGAACCAGATCAGTGTCTACATGTTCAGATTAAGGTTCCTGATCTTGCCCTTAATTCAGGGAGAGGTCTGTTGATAATCTGCAGTGCATCATTGGAATAGGGCCAACAGGAACTGAGTGTAGATCCATGCAGCAGATCCATGTCTATCACTGTATATAAACTAGATCCATGTCTATCACTATATATAAACTAGATCCATGTCTATCACTGTATATAAACTAGATCCATGTCTATCACTAAATATAAACTAGATCCATGTCTATCACTGTATATAAACTAGATCCATGCAGCAGATCCATGTCTATCACTGTATATATAAACTAGATCCATGTCTATCACTGTATATAAACTAGAGGATAAATCGTGTTTTATGTAGTATATAATAGTTACCTATGACGACCAGTATGAAGAGCAGTGTAGCAACTCCTGCTGTGATGTAGAACATTGTACTGATGTTATAGGCCAGCAGATCCATGTCCTCAACGTTAGGCACCAGGATGGGAGGTACCAGGAACCCGATGGCTATACCCAGCTGGAAGAGAACACAAGACAGTACAGCTTTAAAAACAGCTGAATATAACACTTAAAAACACACACACACACACACACACACACACACACACAAAGACACAACGACCACCCTTCTGTATAATGGAGATGCATGTTGGAGACAGCCAATAGGGGGTGGCTGTTGCAGACAGAGGGCTTTCATTCACTGTAGTTAAAGTAGCACTACACTAGTTATAACCTGAACCTGGCTCAAACGTGATAGTGCATGTTGGTCCATCCCTTCAAAAAGGTCCAGAAGTGACGTCTTGTTTTTGAAAACCACAAAGTGATGTAACCATAGATACTCTACGTGACCAAAAGTATGTGGATACCTGCTCGTCGAACATCTCATTCCAAAATCATGGGGATTAATATGGAGTTGGTTCCCCCCCAGAACAAAGGACAAATATCCACCGGTCTAATGTCCATTGCTCGTGTTTCTTGGCCCAAGCAAGTCTCTTCTTATTATTGGTGTCCTTCAGTAGTGGTTTCCTTGCAGCAATTCGACCATGAAGGCCTGATTCACACATTCCCCTCTGAACAGTTGATGTTGAGATGTGTCTGTTACTTGAACTCCGTGAAGCATTTTTTTGGGCTGCAATTTCTGAGGCTGGTAACTCTAATGAACGTATCCTCTGCAGTAGAGGTAACTCGGTCTTACATTCCTGTGGCGGTCCTCATGAGAGCCAGTTTCATCATAGCGCTTGATGGTTTTTGCGACTGCACTTTAAGAAACTATTGACTGACCTTCATGTCTTAAAGTAATGATGGACTGTCGTTTCTCTTTGCTTATTTGAGCTGTTCTTGACATAATATGGGTCTTTTACCAAATAGGGCTATCGTCTGTATACCCCTCCTACCTTGTCACAACACAACTGATTGGCTCAAACGCATTAAGACGGAATTAAATTCCACAAATTAACTTTTGAGAAGGCACACCTGTTAATTGAAACGCATTCCAGGTGACTACCTCATGAAGCTGGTTGAGAGAATGCCAAGAGTGTGCAAAGCTGTCATCAAGGCAAAGTGTGGCTATTTGAAGAATCTCAAATACAAAATATATTTTGATTTGTTTAACACTTTTTTGGTTACTACATGATTCCATATGTGTTTTTTCATAGTTTTGATGTCTTCACTATTATTCTACAATGTAAAAAAATAGTAAAAATAAAGAAAAACCCTGGAATGAGGAGGTGTGTCCAAACCTTTGACTGGTAGTGTATATGTACATACTGTATCTACCTCAATTACCTCGTACCCCTGCACATGGACTCAGTACTGGTACCTCGTGTATATAGCCAAGTTATCGTTACTCATTGGGTGTTTCTCAATATGCCTACTACTGTGCTCCACACTCTCATGCTCCGAGTGCATTCCCCCTGACCACGTTCTCTTGAGTACGTTCTTGTGGAGGACGAGAGTGTGGAGAATGCATAAAACAATACATTTGAGAAGCACTCGCACTCCCCCTTACTGTATTACGTCAGGCTTCACCTCCCCATTCACTGAACCTTCTTCCAGCCGGGACAACGGCAACAACAGACGAAACTAGATATACACAAAGCAAAATGTTTTACTTCACAACTATCAGCTAGATGTGAATCGTAATAATCTAGCTAGCCAGCTAGTTAAAACAGGCAAAAATGACCTAAAACTAATATTATGCAAGGTAGATGTAAAATAAATTGTGGCCATCTACCAATTCTTTGTGGCTAGCTAGCTGCTAGCTAGTTAGCCAGTTAGCCCTAGTGACTTACCCATTCACTGAACCGTCTTCCACCCAGGACAACAATGGCATTAGACTAAACAAGATATACACAAAGCAACCGTTTTACTTCATAACTATCAGCTAGCTATATGTGAATCGTAATAATGTAGCTAACCGGATAGTTTAACAGGCAAAAATGACCTAAAACTAATATTATGCAAGATAGATGTCAATGGGTAGCTAGCTAACTATTCTTTGTTGCTATCTGGCTAGCTAACAGTACTAGCAGCTAGCCAGTTAGCCCTATTGACTTACTATGGGCTTGTGATCTACAGTACGTAGGCAGGTAAACATGCCAAAATTAACACATTGTGTATTTATTAACATATCAAGATGAAATATTGTAGTCAGGGCAACATATGAGATGTGAACAGGCAACATGTCATTCCGAAGTCGGAGTGTATTTTCTCTCGCTTCAGCTCAAATAATGGACGCCATTGATTTCAAGAAATGTTGCGTACTTTTTTACGTGGTTGCATTATATTTCTTTGAAGCTTTCATCGATGCATGCTTCAAAATATGTACAAACGGAGTACGTATTCGAGAAGTGCCCTCCGTGCTCCGTTTCGCATACTTTGATTTGGAACCCAGTTATTACTTTTATTGTGTGTTATTTATCTATTACTTCTCCATGTTCTTTCTTTCTGCGTTGTTGGGAAATGGCCGTAAGGAAGCATCTCACTGTTCGTCTACACCTGTTGTTTACCAAGCATGCGATTTGAATTGATTTTAGCTGACAATAAAAAGGCCACTCTAAAATGTGCAGTTTTGTCACACAACACACTGCCACAGATGTCTCAAGTTGAGGGAGTGTGCAATTGGCATGCTGACTGCAGGAATGTCCACCAGAGCGGTTGCCAGATAACTTATTGTTCACTTCTCTACCATAAGCTGCCGCCAATGTCATTTCAGAGAATTTGGCAGTACCTCAAACCGGCCTCACAACCGCAGACCACATGTAACCACGCCAGCCCAGGACCTCCACATCCGGCTTCTTCACCTGCGGGATCGACTGAGACCAGCCACCCGGACAGCTGATGAAACTGAGGAGTATTTCAGTCTGAAAAACTCATTCTGATTGGCTGGGCCTAGCTCCCCAGTGGGTGGGCCTGGCTCCCAAATGGGTGGGCCTGACTCCCCAGTAGGTGGGCCTGGAAGTAGGTGGGCCTATGCCCTCCCAGGCCCACCCATGGCTGCACCCCTGCCCAGTCATGTGAAATCCATAGATTAGGGCCTAATTTATTTATTTAAATTGACTGATTTCCTTTCATGAACTGTAACTCAGTAAAATCTTCGAAATTGTTGCGTTCATATTTTTGGTCAACATATTTACAGCATTACATATTAGATTTTTAGGGCACAACGTGCTTCAAAAGTAGCTAGAATTCATTTAGACTATCTCCATCAATAAAACAAATCTTATTTTCTGGTGCTCCTGAACTTCATGTGGCGCTCCTAACTTTTTAAAGTTGGGAGCACCAGTGCTACCAATGAAAAATGATGATAATATCAAGATAAAAAATTATAATATACAAAAAAAAAAGTGTGTCCTGTAAAGGAGGTCATCAATGTGGTCAATTCAGGCCAGGATCACAAAACATTGAGGTGAGAGGAATATTTGAATTTCTCATGGGTAAAAGTAAATATTCATATGCTTTCTATTTATTTAATAAGTAGATGTGTGATGGGAGTATCCATAAACAATTACTTTTATTGAAAAGAGGAAAGGGAGAGCTTAATTTCAAGCCTATTTGAGTTTCTACAGTGCCCTCCACTAATATTGGCACCCTTGGTCAATATGAGAAAAATGGGCTGTGAAAAAAATGTCTTTATTGTTTTATCCTCTTGGTCTTTCATTCAAAATATTCACAAAAATCTAACCTTTAATTGAAGTAAAATGATTGAAAAAAGTTAATGTGAAAAAAATTTAATAACATTTTTCTCCAAAACATGTACCACAATTATTGGCACCCCTAGAAATTATTATGGGTAAAATCTAACTGAAGTATATTCCCATTCATATTTTACGTTTTTAAGGTCACCTGAGTGATTAGTAACACTTAAGTGGTAAGCCATGACTTCGTGTTTCACTGGGGTATAAATATGAGGTGACACACAGGCCAAGTTCCCATAGTCATCCATCGCTATGGGAAAGATCCGAGAACACAGTAATGATGTGCGACAAAAGGTTGTTGAGCTACACAAATCAGGAAATGGCTATAAGAAAATAGCTCAATGGTTGAAAATGCCCATTTCCACTATCAGGGCAATAATGAAGAAGTTTAAAGCAACTGGAGATGTTAACAATCGGCCTGGAAGAGGACGTGTGTCTATATTGACCCCGTGAGGAGGATGGTTCGAGTGGCCAAAAAATCTCCAAGGATCACATCTGGAGAATTGCAGACGTTAGTTGGGGCTTGGGGTCAGAAAGTTTCCAAAACTACGATCAGACGCCACCTATAAAACCACAAGTTGTTTGGGAGGGTTGCCATAAAAAAAGCCTTTGCTGTCATCAAACAACAAACTCAAGCTCCTACAGTTTGCCAAACGTTACTGGAACTTTCAATGGGGCCGGGTTCTATGGTCAGATGAGACCAAAATATAGCTTTTTGGAAACTAACACCAGAGGTGGGTTTGGCGTAGACAGAACGACAGACATGCTGAAAAGTATCTCATCCCCACTGTGAAGTACAGTGGTGGATCTTTGATGTTGTGGGGCTGTTTTTCTTCCAAAGGCCCTGGAAAACTCGTTAGGATACATGGTATCATGGACTCCATCAAGTACCAGCAGATATTAAATCGAAACCTGACTGCCTCCACTAGGAAGCTTAAACTGGGCCGTGGTTGGATCTTCCAGCAGGACAATGATCCAAAGCACACCTCAAAATCAACACAAAAATGGTTCACTGACCAGAGAATCAAGGTTTTGCCATGGCAATCCCAGTCCCCTGACCTAAACCCCATAAAAAAAACCTGTGGGATGAGCTGAAGAGGAGAGTCCACAAGCGTGGACCTCGGAATCTGAAGGATCTGGAGAGATTCTGTACGGAGGAATGGTCTCAGATCCCTTGCCATGTGTTCTCCAACCTCATTATGCATTATAGGAGAAGACTCAGAGCTGTTATCTTGGCAAAGGGAGGTTGCACAAAGTATTGAATGAAGAGGTGCCAATAATTCTGGCACACCTACTGTATATCTGAGAAGGAAAAAATGTGTTTTATGATAAGAATTTATTTTTCTTTCAATTATTTTACTTTAATTAATGGTTATATTTTTGTGAATATTTTGAATGAAAGACCAAGAGGATGAACAATAAAGATGTTTTTCTCTTATTTTATTTTATTTATTTTTTTACCAAGGGTGCCAATATTAGTAGAGAGCACTGTAGGTTAAGCCATGTGGTAACTAGCATATTACCAACTAATGCTAACTAGCATTAGCATTGGAGGGGGTGGTTGGGGATGGTTGTCACAATCTGACAATCATCCCCATTGTAACAATGTACCCAGTAAGCTAAAGTAAGTTGAAAAGATGCCTAGAATACTTTTTTGGACAGCACAGTACAGTACAGTTTAATACAGCACAGTCCAGTACAGTTTAATACAGCACAGTCCAGTACAGTTTAATACAGCACGGTCCAGTACAGTTTAATACAGCACAGTCCAGTACAGTTTAATACAGCACGGTCCAGTACAGTTTAATACAGCACGGTCCAGTACAGTTTAATACAGCACAGTCCAGTACAGTTTAATACAGCACGGTCCAGTACAGTTTAATACAGCACGGTCCAGTACAGTTTAATACAGCACAGTCCAGTACAGTTTAATACAGCACGGTCCAGTACAGTTTAATACAGCACAGTCCAGTACAGTTTAATACAGCACAGTCCAGTACAGTTTAATACAGCAGAGTACAGTACAGTTTAATACAGCACAGTCCAGTACAGTTTAATTCAGCAGAGTACAGTAGAGCAAAGTAGAATACAGTACAGTTGCATTCAGTGGAGTACAGTAGGATCCAATACATTATACTGTACTTTTCTTTACTGAATCCACTCTACATTCCTGTACTCCGCTGTGTGGTCCAAACTTGTGAAACCTCTACGATTGGTTCAGTCCGGACTTGCTGGCCAAAACTGGGTCATGTGACAACGACTGAGTAAGCAACATTCTCTCACACACACACACACACACACACACACACGTTTGAAAAAGCAATCAATGTATTCAACAACAAAAACGTTAGTTAACCAAAATTGTTTACAGCTATACTTTCTCTTTATCAAAATGTTTAATTTTCATCCATATATAATCAGATGGTTACTGTTTGTTTTATTAAGCATTGATATGACGAATTTGAGTGAGAACTACAATATCAAAGCAAATTTTCAACTGTGTTTTTATTATGTTAGATAGAAATACTGTTCAATAAATAAAAGCTTTACTTTTTCTACAGCTTTTTAAATTGGTTCAATTGTTGCTGAAAAACAAAATGGCAAACACAGACAACCAACTCCATACTGCGTGACAACCAAACCTGGGATGGAGCTGGTTGTCTCAAGTGGACAGAGTGTGTTTGATGGCTTATAACTCCACGTTGGAACGAGATATGAGGATAAAAGTGTCCCCATTTCAACCCAAGACCTGAGTCTTTCTCCTGACGTTGAAAATAGTATTGTAAGACATACTGGTGCTGAGAAATACACTAATTAGTCAAATGTGTGACAACCAACCCCGGTCTCCCCTATCAGATCTATGCAGAAACGGAGTGCTCCTTTTAGGTTTTTTTGCTAGTTAGTCACCCATTAAAGTCTCCTAGGGTAAATTAAGACAACTCTGTTAATATGAAACTACTCAGTTAGGCCTCAGTGATTCATCCCATTTGGCTAACACATTTCCATATCGGCTGAATAACTTAGCCTTCATAGATGTGTAAACTTCTTTATTTTAAAAATAGGGAAAGAACTTGCACATCTGAGGTTACCTGTTGCAGGTGCACGGTGACAACGAGATAACTTGAAAGAAAAAGAGAGACCTGTGTCAGCTCATTCTTTAATTACCAGGGTCAAAGTTCATTTGCGGGCCTGAAACTGAAAGAGTTCACCTAACTAGGAATAACAAAAGACAGAAAAACAATACAATATTTGTGAAGATAACATCTGATGTGAAGGCGCAAAGAGTCCATGAAAACCAGCTAGAGGTCAAAAGGTGAAATAACTCCCATCTCAATGAGTCTGTTTCAAAATCAGCATGTGATGAATTAAAGACAACTCTGTTAATGTGCAACAACTCAGTTAGACATAGCCGATGTCCCTGTCCAGTGATTCACCCCATTTGCCTAACATAATTCCATATTAGCTGAATAACTTAGCCTTCATCGATTTGAACACTTCCTTAGACGAGAGACACGACTGTGAATAGGTACTGTAGACTCATCTGGGTTACTCAGATTGTGTAGCATATATATATATATATATACACACACAGTACCAGTCAAAAGTTGACACACCTACTCATTCCAGGTTTTTACTTTATTTTTTACTAATTTTCTACATTGTAGAAATTGTGGTTTGCAGCAATTTGACCGTGAAGGACTGATTCACACAGTCTCCTCTGAACAGTTGATGTTGAGATGTGTCTGTTACTTGAACATTTATTTGGGCTGCAATCTGAGGTGCCGTTAACTCTAATGAATTTATCCTCTGCAGCAGAGGTAACTCTGGGTCTTCCTTTCCTGTGGCGGTCCTCATGAGAGCCAGTTTCATCATAGCGCTTGATGGTTTTTGCGACTGCACTTGAAGAAACGTTCAAAGTTCTTGAAATGTTCCGTATTGACTGAACTTCACGTCTTAAAGTAATGATGGACTGTCGTTTCTCTTTGCTTATTTTAGCTGTTCTTGCCATAATATGGACTTGGTCTTTTACTAAATAGGGCTATCTTCAGTCTACCTTGTCACAACACAACTGATTGGCTCAGGAAAGAAATTCCACAAATTAACTCTTAACAAGGCACACCTGTTAATTGAAATGCATTCCAGGTGACTACCTCATGAACTTCCTGACTGATGTATTGATATGTTGCTTTAATATATCCACATAATTTTCCTTCCTCATGATGCCATCTATTTTGTGAAGTGCACCAGTCCCTCCTGCAGCAAATCACCCCCACAGCATGATGCTGCCACCCCGTGCATCACGGTTGGGATGGTGTTCTTCGGCTTGCAAGCAGCCCCCTTTTTCCTCCAAACATAACGATGGTCATTATGGCCAAACAGTTCTATTTTTGTTTCATCAGACCAGAGCACATTTCTCCAAAAAGTACGATCTTTGTCCCCATGTGCAGGTGTAAACCGTAGTCTGGCTTTTTTATGGCGGGTTTTGGAGCAGTGGCTTCTTCCTTGCTGAGCGGCCTTTCAGGTTATGTCGATATAGGACTTGTTTTACTGTGGATATAGATACTTTTGTACCTGTTTCCTCCAGCATCATCACAAGGTCATTTGCTGTTGTTCTGGGATTGATTTGCACTTTTCGTAACAAAGTATGTTCATCTCTAGGAGACAGAACGAGTCTCCTTCCTGAGCGGTATGACGGCTGCGTGGTCCCATGGTGTTTATCCTTGAGTACTATTGTTTGTACAGATGATCGTGGTACCTTCAGGCGTTTGGGAATTGCTCCCAAGGCAGAACCACACTTGTGGAGGTCTAAAAAAAAAATTCTGAGGTGTTGGCTGATTTCTTTTGATTTTCCAATGATGTCAAGCAAAGAGCCACTGAGTTTGAAGGTAGGCCTTGAAATACATCCACAGGTACACATTCAATTGACTCAAATGATGTCAATTAGCCTATAGATTGTATATGGGGCCTATATATAGGCTGAAATATGAAACATCAACTTCCCGACCATGTAACATTGCAATAATGTCAGGTTATACGTTTTTTTATTAAACATGTAAATAGGCCTACTGTAGATTCATCATATGCATATCCTTTGAAAGTGTTACGCTGAAATGTCAACTTCCCTGTCACAAGAACGTCAGAGGTTAGGCCTATGCATTGTCTCTAAGGCCTATGTTTGTTTGTTTTTGACAGGTCCTCTGAGAAACGTATTATCTTCCTCACACAGCTGGTGATTCTCACTCCAGTGCCACTGTGAGTGTACCCGCACGTGAGTTATAAACGGTGTGGTCCTCTGTAGCTCAGCTGGTAGAGCACGGCGCTTGTAACGCCAAGGTAGTGGGTTCGATCCCCGGGACCACCCATACACAAAAATGTATGCACGCACGACTGTAAGTCGCTTTGGATAAAAGCGTCTGCTAAATGGCATATTATTATTATTATTTATAAAGAGCTATGAGAAACCCCCTAGTCAGCACCTACGGATCTCAAACGCAGCACAGAATGACGAAGGAAGCATGACATCCAAACTTAAAACCTCAACAACATGGGAACCTTACTTGGCAAATGGTCATGGGTCTCGAGGGAGTAAATGGAAAGTTTGACCGTTTTCCATGGAGATGGTTATGGTGCCCTGAGGGCTTTATGTCCTGTGATTACGCTATGGTCAGGTGACCCTATACATTGATCTCTCAAGCCAGGTCAGTTGGTCAGTTGAATCTGTAACTGTGACGTTCACCTTTCAGGCCCGAAAAATAAGAGATTTTTCATGGTGGCTTGAACGTGTGGCTAGATGACTCTGTACACTGTTCTCCCAGTCTCGTCAGTGTGACAAATTAATAGGTGATGACATTGACCTTTCACCTTTGAGGGCGAAGGATGAGAGATGACCAACTGGCCAATATAGGCCGGCGGTGGCTTGATTCTTGCGTAACTGCGCAATGCCCAACTGCGTCAAATGGACACATTGGTGGAGTAATCTGGAACATTCCGATAAGTGACTAATCATTAAGATAGTTCAAAATGACTGAATACATAATCAAATAGCTACATCTGCAATTACTTTTTAACTTATTGGACCTTATACTACATAACATACCTGGTTTCCAAAGACCCCGATGGAGCAAGCGGTGGACACCTCCTCCGATCCGAACCACACCGAGGCGATCTTCGACGGCATCCCGAGGATAAACACCTGCGCAAGGGAACAGCAGAACTGTCCGAGCATGGTGACCGCGAACAGGTCGGGTCTCACGCTGGTCACTTTGATCCAAGTCCCCGCGCAATTCATGGCTGTAGCCACCAGCGCAATAACACGGAGACCCTTCTTATCCAGTAGCCAGGTGACTGGGAATATGAAGGGGATGTAAGTCAGCATGTATATCATTGACATCCAGTCTATGGTGAAAGACTCTACCCCGTAGAACTTCATGAAAATGTTGTTGATAATTCCGTACTGGATCCATTGGAACGAGTTGCAGAGAGAGTACGAGCTGAATAGCAACACGATGAACCATCGCCGCTTGTATAGTTTGATGGTTTGGGTTGTATCGTCCCCGTTCCGGTTGAGTTGTATCTTGTGCTCCATGCGCACGTCCTCGCTGTCACCGGCAGACTTCATAATTGTCATGTTTCCCAGATCTGACACATTTTGATTGTCGTTGATTTCGCCATAAACCAAGGAAGGTTTTTCTTGTTCGCCGCTCATGTTGAAGTTGATTAATTAAGACGTGCTGGTGAATACAATACAGACGCGTATGCCTCTCTCTTACATTTTAGTGAGAGTTCAGAGTAGCCTGACTATGCGACAGCTCCCAGATCTTTTGACAGTACTCTAGTTTTGGGACACAAGCCAAACCAGATACACCACCTCTCGAAGTTCACCCATCAGAAACTACAACAGACACCACTTTCTATTTGATGCCACGTTAGCAAATAAAGCAGTTTAAAGCAAAGACATTCCCTGAGATGAATATGTGAAGTTAAAATTAGCTAAACAACCAAGAAATAATTCGAAGTGCAAAGGGTAGACAAGACAAATCACTCATAGGCTACATTACAAGTAGCCTAGCTAGCCTGAATAGGCGAACTTTTTCCTGTTCCTGTTGTGCTGTTGTTGCCAAAACAGTAGCCTACTTTCACAAGCAGTTCAAACTCAACATATGTAGCCCTACATTTGTTTTAAAAGAATGATTGGAGATGTCACTCAGGTCAGCGTCGAGCGAAGAATCAATGGGCGCCATTCGTTTTGCATGGCCAGCTGCCTCGGGTGAGTGGAGATTTCCCTTAAGGACCAATAGCGGAATTGTCTAAAACAGAGGGTGACAATCTCATTCCATGGATGGCCTTTCAATTAAGCCCAAAACCACCAGGGGTGGGGAGTTCCTTACTAATTAGTGACCTTAATTCATTGCTCAAGTACAAGGGAAGAGCGAAACCCCGCAGACACTCGGCCCTCCGTGGAATGAGTTTGACACCTGTGGTCTAAAACGTTTAAACTCCGCTGCCCGGGGCACCGGGCCATGCAAAACGAACACGTCTAATGTAAACGCCAGTTTTACGTCACCACGCAGGGCCAACCAACCCCCTGCCCATTGAACCCTCTCCGCCATCTGTGTTGAAATGTGGCACTGGGCAAGATAGGGGGAGGGGCTACATTTTGCAACCCGAACATCCGACTCGGGTCTGCCGACTAAAATCATTCACTTATCTATGCCAAATGTATATTTTTGTTGTTGGTGGTATAGGCCACACAACACAGTTCTACAAAACACCATCCACTGACCCGAGATAAAATACCACGCAACACAATACAGTAGTTTACAATCGAATAGAATATGGCGCTGTAATTAGAATAAAATAGATAATGTTATGTTACATGTTGAGAAAATGTAAGCAACCATTTGGTCTGAAAATGTAAGCAACCCATTGGTCTGAAAACATGAGGCTTTCCACCCAACATCCCCTCTAAAGCGCGCGTGTAAGCGCAGCTCCCACGGGACTGCCAATCAGAGAGCAGAAGAAATGTCTGCCCACAGGGAGAAGCGGGAGATAGAACTTCACTCAACTCTCTAGACTTTTCCCCTGCTAGTTAACACTATCATTGTTTCCCTTTACTGTGGCAATTGTGATCGAATCAACGCAATATTAGCCACTTTCAATGCAACATCCCGAAACAAAACGAAAACTAGGAGGCAGAATGCATAGGAGTAGGATTCTATTGTGCACGACTCAGTGCATACTCTAGACTGGTGCGGCATAGCCAATCAGAGCTGCAGTAGGCCTATATGCAAATAGACTATTGTCATAAATGGATCTGTGCCGTTTACTTTGAACTGGATTGTATTTACAGCTGTGGTCACGAGTAGATATGCTTGTTGTGAGATCAAAGCAAGAGTTGCAAGTAGCCATGTTTTGTTCATATCCTTTGCTAATAGTGAGTTATTAGCCCAGTTATAGATCATTTTATAGTCAGCAATGGAGGAGTTATTACTTCCTACAAGAGCACAAAATGTGTACATTTCTAGACATCTTTGAAAAGCAAGTCGGGTAAATAGCCTTTTTTTGGTCTTAAAGGGGCAGCGTTGTATTTTGAGACAGGCTTGAATAAACTAAGTAGCCAATAGGCAGAGGGCAGCATAATTTGTCTGATTCTCTGTAATAATGGTATGGGAATAATAATGCGGTTTCTTGCATCAAACAACACACAACAACATTTTCAGTCACCTCCTTGTCTGAAGGACAAGTGGATTAACAGGTTAATGTCAAGCCATGCATGTTTTTTTCAAAAGTCTCATGAGTCCTACATTGAACACCACACATTGGCTGCTACTGTAGGCTGAATGATAGAACCGCTATTTCCATGTTAAAATGTTATGGGATGCATTTTCTCCATTGTTTTTGATGGTAGGCCACTCTGGTAGGCCTACATTATGATCAAATAGCCACAGTAGCCTACTGGGCCACTGTTAAAACTGTAACTTAAAGCGGGTACAGCCTCCGTGTTCACAGTAAACACGCGCTGGAAGTTGCACAGAATTTTCACAACGTTCAAGTTTTCCCTCAGCAGACCTGACATTTGCTCATTGCCGAAAACATTTGCTTCCAACCCTAAATTCACTATTTGCATTTTTAAAACAATTTCAAACTTTCTATCTTTTATTTTTAAATGTACAGTAAGACAACATTTTTAAAAAATCATTTTCAATACAACATTCAAAAAAAGTCATTAAAAAAGTACAAGCACAATACTACTGATGGTAAACTAGACCCTGTAAGTCCTGTCTCAGTGCCAGTCCATAAGATAATCATTTATATCGGAGCATACAATGCCGTACCTTACCAAGGCTTACCCTTCATTACTTATAGATACACAGCGCCACCTTGTGACCGTTAAAACATCGAAACACAAATTCAAGAGGATTCGAACGTAGATCCTTAAATTAGCAAAGTTATTATCAAACTGTACGTATCACTTAGGCAGAATATACATGTATTCATATCAAACTAGAAAAGCAGCACTGTTTTGTGAATGATTTTTTTTTTTTTTTTTGACACATCATTGAGTGATTCAACCTATTTTTCAATGCTCCAATCAGTCATATGCAATAGTGGTAGTCCTGAGAATGAGAAATGCACACAAAACTAGGGCCGGGATGATACGAGTATCGCAATATTCTTTCCATGGCAAAAAATGGAAACAGGAAGCAAATCAAATTCTTTGGTCGATCAAAAACCTTCTGTTTGTAAAATATTGTGTGCTATAGCTTGGAAAATAAATACATGTGACTCTGGACGACAACATGATGTTTGTTTCCAACATTAGGGCTGATTTCCTAAAGAAGTTAAATCTGCTTTGTGTTTTGTTTCCTTGCCACGATACTAACAAGTATCGCGATACTAGTATCGTCCCAGTCCTTGCGGCAACACGTTGTAATAGGCCTATATAAATGACTTGAAATGTAAAACGGAATAATTTCATTGTTGTATAAATAGCAATGGTACAATAAAACATGTCCACAGAACTTTGTTCTGGGTAATATTTAATCATGCTGGTTTTCTGTCCTGTAGATATGGACTATTTGCATAGTCAAGCCATTGGTTCTATGGTCGAGTCATAGATGGTAATTTCACATCTATGTGCCTTTGGCTGTGTTTACACATGCAGCCCAATTCTGATCTTTTGCCACTAATTCGTCTTTTGACCAATCAGATCAGATCTTTTGCCAATAATTGGGCAAAATATCAGAATTTGGCTGCCTGTGTAAAAGCAGCATTTTTCATCTTTTAAAATCATAAAATAGTTGATCTGATACAAAGATACCATTCACGAGTGCTGCCTGTTCCACTGAAACAAAGACACCATTCACGAGTGCTGCCTGATCCACTGAAACAAAGACACCATTCACGAGTGCTGCCTGTTCCATTGAAACAAAGACACCATTCATGAGTGCTGCCTGTTCCATTGAAACAAAGATACCATTAATGAGTGCTGCCTGTTCCATTGAAACAAAGATACCATTAATGAGAGCTGCCTGTTCCATTGAAACAAAGATACCATTAATTCTGCCTAAAACACCAGTCTTTAACTTCATCCTGTTCAAGTGTAGCCTCTTGAAACCAGACTGACCTGGTTTAACGAGGCTAGTTCAAGTGGCTCTCTTCACCCACTTTACCAAGGTCAGTAAACCTCTCCAGCTTCTCTTTAGCACCCCCTGGTGGTCGGTGGTGATCAGTGCTGGTAGTGCGACACAGCGATGCTGTGCTGGTGGTGGAAAACACTGCTCCCGTGGTGGTGGGGGGAGACGGAGTGATGATGAGGGGAGTAGAGGAGGTCAGGGGTCATCTGGGGGGGCAGGCCGGTGCAGAGAGGCTCATGGGTAGTCAGGACGGAGGAGAGATACTTGGCCTCTTCTGTTAGTCTCTTCACCTCCTTCCTCAGAGCTGTGTTCTCCTTCTCCAGGTTCTCACTCTCCTGAAACAATAGGAACCAATCAATCAATGAAATGTATGTATAAAGGCCCTTTTACATCACTGGGTATTACAAAGTGCTTTACAGTAACCCAGCCTGCTTTACGGTAACCCAGCCTGCTTTACAGTAACCCACCCTGCTTTACAGTAACCCAGCCTGCTTTACAGTAACCCAGCCTGCTTGGTAACCCAGCTTTTAAACCCAGCCGCTTTACGTAACCCCAGCCTGCTTTACAGTAACCCAGCCTGCTTTACAGTAACCCAGCCTGCTTTACAGTAACCCAGCCTGCTTTACGGTAACCCAGCCTGCTTTACAGTAACCCAGCCTGCTTTACAGTAACCCAGCCTGCTTTACAGTAACCCAGCCTGCTTTACAGTAACCCAGCCTGCTTACAGTACCCAGCCTCTTACGTAACCAGCCTGCTTACAGTAACCCAGCCTGCTTTACAGTAACCCAGCCTGCTTTACAGTAACCCAGCCTGCTTTACAGTAACCCAGCCTGCTTTACAGTAACCCAGCCTGCTTTACAGTAACCCAGCCTGCTTTACGAACCCAGCCTGCTTTACAGTAACCCAGCCTGCTTTACAGTAACCCAGCCTGCTTTACAGTAACCAGCCTGCTTTACAGTAACCAGCTGCTTTACAGTAACCCAGCCTGCTTTACAGTAACCCAGCCTGCCAAGAGCAGCTGAGCACGTACAAGGAAACTCCCTAAAGAGAACCTGCAAGGAATACATTACACATTACATTTAGTCATTTAGCAGACGCTCTTGTCCAGAGCGACTTACAGACTAGACTCGGGGGAGGCTCATTCGTATTTGGCAGACAGTTAATAGGAATCAGTCAAACTGAATAAATAAATGAATGAAGCTGATGACCTAATTATCAAATGGTCACAACTGAAATTTCAGTATGAATTCTTCTCTGTACAGTGAAAATACAATTAAACTATTTTGTGGCACTGCTATGCTGAATGCCAATGACCTGTATGGTTCGACCCTAGGTTACATGGATTACATCTCAGGTCATCGTTTAAACAACCAACGCATCATCAGTCTTTCTGTAACTTCAGCTTTGATGGGAAAAATGATTCAAAAGAAATCCCCCCTGCTGCTGTCATTCATTTGTCAACAAATAATCTTCTAATCTTTTCGTGCAGCAAGGCGTTTTTCTTCTGAACTCCACCATCAGATCTGGTTAGATTTCAGAGTCAATGACCTTTGTGGAAACCCAGTACGTGGGTGGTGGTGGTTGGTAGATCCAGTCTATGTGATTCTTCTATGTAAACCATCTGCTCTAGTTCTGTGAGGCGGCTTATTCATCAGCCCTCCCTCACAGAGCGTGTTAGAGGGGGACGGACCAATGTTGGCTCACCCCAGGCCTCATCACAGGGCGTGTTAGTCTAAGCATATTCTGTGGTTTTATGGTTTCTTCAACTCGCTTGATAAACAGGAAGTTGAATTTTCCCTCACTGTGACACGTTTCCTGTTTCCTGAGTAGTAGTCTCTCTCTCTCTCTCTCTCCTGTGTAAATAAGGTTTAGTAGTAGCCGTGGGCAGGAGGGGAGAGAACGTCTGTCATTTCTGGTAAAGGATCCGTGTCAGTGGGTTGTTAGGATAAGTGACGTGAGCGCTGGGGTTTACCCAGGCCTCCTCTAACCCTGGCCCTGTCTCGACCTTTAAAGGAACACAGTGGAACGATTCTATCTAACCTGTTTTGTTCCCCACACCTCTGGGAGTGAAAGGCCATGATCACCCACGGATACGCAGAGCTCGTACCTTAAACCCTGAACATCTGGCCCTGATAATGTGCAGGCCCACACTGTAATGGAACATTTATATACGTACATGGGGACCTCAGAGCAAAAGACATCAAAGAAAAATACAATGTTAAATTGTTGTAGATTAACGAAATTGTCTTTCTAAACTACTGAAAAAAAACTATGTTCGACCAGCATTCTATTAAATACAGACATATTTCCTCAAGAGTTAAGAGTTGCACAGATGTCTTCTAGAAGCTCTAAATGCATTGATTTTGACATGACACCATAGACCTTATGAAGAAAGTGTCCTCAGCTGAACTGCATGGTGTCCCATTGATAAACACTACCTCTCTTCAGAACTGCATGGTGTCCCATTGATAAACACTACCTCTCTTCAGAACTGCATGGTGTCCCATTGATAAACACTACCTCTCTTCAGAACTGCATGGTGTCCCATTGATAAACACTACCTCTCTTCAGCAACACTAACCGCTAAGACTAAATGTATTTGTAGCTTCTACAAACGGAAATAGGTGTTCTCTACTAGACTTTACAGAGCGACAGCAGTGAAAGTCAGTGACTAAAACCCAGCCAGTCAATGAACAGAAAGAGACGTTGAAATGAAAGTGATTGTGTTCTTTTCACTTTGACTACACCTGAAATACCTCCAGTCACGTGCTTGTATGACCTGCTGTATTACTGCTGCTAAGTGCATCCCAAATAACCCCCTTATTCCTCTATGAAGTGCACTACTTTTGTCCAGAGCCCTGGTCAAAAGTAGTGCACTACATAGGGAATAGGGTGCTATTTGGGGATGCAGACCTAGTCTGCTTCAGAGAACAACGGGTGTAGAGTCGTATTGCTTCTGCTAGTCTGCTACATAGAACTACCACAGCAGATAGGAAAAAAACTGGGAAAACAAATTTTTTGATATTAACATTCAGTGTAATAATTATTAGTAATCATTCTGATGCCCCCACATGTGATAATGAATACTCAGCACCGCAGCAAACACAAACAGGCAGAGATCTGGCCACGGTTGCGTCCCAAATACAACCTATTCCCTATTTAGTGCATTTATTTTGACCAGGGCTCATAGGTATCAGAATCAGAAGTAGTGCACTATATAGGGAATATGGTGCCATTTGGGATTAACCCTAAGTGTTGAGCCCAACAGAAGCCACGATGACACATCACCACATGGTCCATCAGCACTTTGTCAATCTCATCTCATACAGACCAACACAGATCAACACAGACCAACACAGATCAACACAGACCAACACAGATCAACACAGACCCACACAGATCAACACAGACCAACACCAGACCAACACAGATCAACACAGATCAACACCAACCAACACAGATCAACACCAACCAACACAGATCAACACCAACCAACACAGATCAACACAGATCAACACCAATCAACACAGACCAACACAGATTTCAACAACACAGTTTCTTCTTTATAACCTTATCATAGTGGTTCACTGGGTAAATGGTCCCTGCGATTTGAAGGACTTGAAAATAAAGCTCCGCTGTGTTCCCCCGGCCTAGTAAATCAATAATCAATGATCCGTCTGGCTGTCTGATTACTACATAACCAGTCTGATCCGTCTGGCTGTCTGATTACTACATAACCAGTCTGATCCGTCTGGCTGTCTGATTACTACATAACCAGTCTGATCCGTCTGGCTGTCTGATTACTACATAACCAGTCTGATCCGTCTGGCTGTCTGATTACTACATAACCAGTCTGATCCGTCTGGCTGTCTGATTACTACATAACCAGTCTGATCCGTCTGGCTGTCTGATTACTACATAACCAGTCTGATCCGTCTGGCTGTCTGATTACTACATAACCAGTCTGTTACTGACTTGTTGTAGCCTGAGTGCCAGTCTGTTTGTGCTATCATGCCCACTCCTTGTTTGGCTTGACAATGAGCAATGGAGTTGGCAAGAGCACAAACAGATCTGGGACCAGGCTATAGAAGGAGACAACAGATCTGGGACCAGGCTATAGAAGAAGACAACAGATCTGGGACCAGGCTATAGAAGAAGACAACAGATCTGGGACCAGGCTATAGAAGGAGACAACAGATCTGGGACCAGGCTATAGAAGGAGATAACAGACCTGGGACCAGGCTTAGAAGGAGACAACAGATCTGGGACCAGGCTATAGAAGGAGATAACAGACCTGGGACCAGGCTTAGAAGGAGACAACAGATCTGGGACCAGGCTATAGAAGGAGACAACAGATCTTGGTCAAGGCTTAGAAGGAGACAACAGATCTGGGACCAGGCTATAGAAGGAGATAACAGACCTGGGACCAGGCTTAGAAGGAGACAACAGATCTGGGACCAGGCTATAGAAGGAGACAACAGATCTTGGACCAGGCTTAGAAGGAGACAACAGATCTGGGACCAGGCTATAGAAGGAGACAACGGGCGGCAGGTAGCTTAGTGAGCGTTGTGCCAGTAACCGTTGTGCCAGTAACCGAAAGGTCGCTGGTTCTAATCCCTGAGCCGACTAGGTGAAAAATCTGTCGATGTGCCCTTAAGCAAGGCACTTAACCCTAATTGCTCATGTAAGTCGCTCTGGATAAGAGCGTCTGCTAAATGACTAAAATGTAAAATGTAAACAGATCTGGGACCAGGCTATAGAAGGAGACAACAGATCTGGGACCAGGCTTTTAGAGGTTATAAATCGGCTTTTGGGGTGACCTGCCAAAGTTTGCAACTTCACCATGCAGGTTTTGGGAACACTGCATGGGTAGACTGTGTATTTATTTTATTCAGGCCACAATAGACTCACTGCTAGATTGCCAATGCCAAGCCCAGTCGTACTTGGATATGGTGCCATACACAGGGCCTGGTGGATAGTCATCCTAACTCATAGCCAGACATGGTGCACGCATCGGTGTGTTGCATTGTGGGTAGTCCTCCTAACTCATAGCCAGACATGGCGCACGCATCAGTGTGTTGCATTGTGGGTAGTCCTCCTAACTCATAGCCAGACATGCATCAGTGTGTTGCATTGTGGGTAGTCCTCCTAACTCATAGCCAGACATGCATCGGTGTGTTGCATTGTGGGTAGTCCTCCTCACCAGGTGTAGACTGTCTGCCTTCTGGGTCTGTCTCATCCTGCTCTTCTGGGCAGCGATACGGTTCTTCTCCCTTCTCATCACTTTCTTTATGTTGTCTGAGGAGCCCTGGGGAGAGACACGGGGAAGAGTCATCTTCCTGACAGGACGGTAACTGTTGCCCACCCCAACTAACTTACACTAACGGGTGGAGTATTAGGGTTCATTCCAATATACAGTAGATATTATAGATTGAAAATGTATAATCATGCATAACAATATTGACAGTTCTAGGATGAGACATCTCTCTGGTGCATGGCTTGACTGACGCATCATTTCTACAAAGCTGAGTTATTCTGATACCATGAGAACTGAAGTATTCAGGACATGAAACAAGGCGTGATCTGAGACCCACCCCAAACCAACCCTTCCCTGCAGGTGCAATATTGCAATGTTAAGTCTATCAGCTCAACCCTTCATCAAACGGCCTTGATTCCCAGACCACACCTACAGTGGGGAAAAAATGTATTTAGTCAGCCACCAATTGTGCAAGTTCTCCCACTTAAAAAGATGAGAGAGGCCTGTAATTTTCATCATAGGTACACGTCAACTATGACAGACAAAATGAGGAAAAAAAATCCAGAAAATCACATTGTAGGATTTTAAATGAATTTATTTGCAAATTATGGTGGGAAATAAGTATTTGGTCAATAACAAAAGTTTCTCAATACTTTGTTATATACCCTTTGTTGGCAATGACACAGGTCAAACGTTTTCTGTAAGTCTTCACAAGGTTTTCACACACTGTTGCTGGTATTTTGGCCCATTCCTCCATGCAGATCTCCTCTAGAGCAGTGATGTTTTGGGGCTGTCGCTGGGCAACACGGACTTTCAACTCCCTCCAAAGATTTTCTATGAGGTTGAGATCTGGAGACTGGCTAGGCCACTCCAGGACCTTGAAATGCTTCTTACGAAGCCACTCCTTCGTTGCCCGGGCAGTGTGTTTGGGATCATTGTCATGCTGAAAGACCCAGCCACGTTTCATCTTCAATGCCCTTGCTGATGGAAGGAGGTTTTCACTCAAAATCTCACGATACATGGCCCCATTCATTCTTTCCTTTACACGGATCAGTCGTCCTGGTCCCTTTGCAGAAAAACAGCCCCAAAGCATGATGTTTCCACCCCCATGCTTCACAGTAGGTATGATGTTCTTTGGATGCAACTCAGCATTCTTTGTCCTCCAAACATGACGAGTTGAGTTTTTACCAAAAAGTTCTATTTTGGTTTCATCTGACCATATGACATTCTCCCAATCCTCTTCTGGATCATCCAAATGCACTCTAGCAGACTTCAGACGGGCCTGGACATGTACTGGCTTAAGCAGGGGGACACGTCTGCAGGATTTGAGTCCCTGGTGGCGTAGTGTGTTACTGATGGTAGGCTTTGTTACTTTGGTCCCAGCTCTCTGCAGGTCATTCACTAGGTCCCCCCGTATGGTTCTGGGATTTTTGCTCACCGTTCTTGTGATCATTTTGACCCCACGGGGTGAGATCTTGCGTGGAGCCCCAGATCGAGGGAGATTATCAGTGGTCTTGTATGTCTTCCATTTCCTAATAATTGCTCCCACAGTTGATTTCTTCAAACCAAGCTGCTTACCTATTGCAGATTCAGTCTTCCCAGCCTGGTGCAGGTCTACAATTTTGTTTCTGGAGTCCTTTGACAGCTCTTTGGTCTTGGCCATAGTGGAGTTTGGAGTGTGACTGTTTGAGGTTGTGGACAGGTGTCTTTTATACTGATAACAAGTTCAAACAGGTGCCATTAATACAGGTAACGAGTGGAGGACAGAGGAGCCTCTTAAAGAATAAGTTACAGGTCTGTGAGAGCCAGAAATCTTGCTTGTTTGTAGGTGACCAAATACTTATTTTCCACCATAATTTGCAAATAAATTCATTAAAAATCCTACAATGTGATTTTCTGGATTTTTTTTTCTCAATTTGTCTGTCATAGTTGACGTGTACCTATGATGAAAATTACAGGCCTCTCTCATCTTTTTAAGTGGGAAAACTTGCACAATTGGTGGCTGACTAAATACTTTTTTTCCCCACTGTACATTTACAAATAACTGTTGTCAAGGAAACTCCTCATTGTTGTTCTACATGATTCTACATTTCTGCACGATTCAAAATTTTTACATGATTCTACATTTCTGCATGATACTACATTTCAATCTAAAGCAAAATACTATGGAAGAAGACACGTCCTAGATGCCCAATCGTAAAAAACCAACCAGACCCGCCAAAACATGTCATTTAACAAGCCAATGTGTGCATGAGAGAGAGAGAGCGAGAGACAGAGAGAGCAAGAGAGAGTTGAAAATGACCACAGTAAAGACAAAAATGAGTGTCAACCCCAATACAGAGCACATGATAAGAGTATGATTGTGATGATTACTCCTCGACAATATGTTATTGAAAACACGTGACTGTAAATGCCCCATCTGTCTGTAAATTGAAATGATGTACCAAGCAATAAATCTACCATGTCTAAACATCCCAATGATAACACGTCATAACTGAATAAATGCTATAAAGAGAGAAGGTAATAGATAGTGAAAGGTTGTCCATACCCTCCTGCTGCCCGCCGGCGAAGGGGATTTAGTGTAACTGGAATCATTGCTGTCAGAGCTGTGAGCCATAGCCAACCACGTTGCCCCAAACCCTGTATCTCTCACCACTTCTGCTTTTTATTTGTGTCTGTATCGCTGTGTGTGTGTGCAGCAGAGAGAGTGTGCTACGCTGAACTTGGTTGGTCGCTTAATGAGTAAGAACTAGTTCTCTCCTCTTTCTCTTTCTCTCTCTCACTCCTCTATTCACTCACTCTCTCTCTATACCTATCTCTCTCCTGCCCTCCCTCCCTCTCTCTCTCTCTCTCTCTCTCTCTCTCTCTCTCTCACACACACACACACACACACACACATTATGTCTGCCTAATTAGCAGCCAGCGTCTGATGTGGTTTCTGGTAAAAAAAAAAAAGAAAAACAGGGTTAGTGACACCAGACTGGAAGTCACATGACCCTTGGAAATTTTGCATAGCGGTATGAACCTATAGGGGGCATGTCTACTATCAAGTAAACCCCACAGGAACCCCGTTCTTCTATCTACAGCGGGGAATATATCATATTCTCAGTACACGGACTGATCATGCAATTAGCCTGAGTGGAATATTAGGAGGTAGAATGGTAGAATGAGACACTGTTACCAGAGGAGGCTGCTGAGGGGAGGACGGCTCATAATAATGGCTGGAACGGAGCAAATGGAACGGCATCAGACCACGTGTTTGATGTATTTGATACCATTCCGCTGATTCCACTCCAGCCATTACCACGAGCCCGTCCTCCCCAATTAAGGTGGCACCAACCTCCTGTGACTTTTATACACAGTTTCATAGAGAGAGAGAGACGGTGATTATCAAATTAGATATATTTTCATATGAATACAGCAATAAAATGGGCCAGGAATGAAGAAATCTAATTGTTCCATATTAGATACAAATATTTATCCTGGTCCCAGATCTGTTTTGTGCTCTTGCCAACTCCTTTGCTGTCATTGTCAAGTCAAACAAGCACAGATCTGACAGCAGCCTAACACATACTGGCTACAAAAAGAAGGATGGGCATTCCTTCACCTGCTAACAGAGCATCTACCGTACTGAAGTTTAGATAGACACTCCCCCCATGGATGACTGGGTCAGAGTATCTACCGTACTGAAGTTTAGATAGACACTCCCCCCATGGATGACTGGGTCAGAGTATCTACCATACTGAAGTTTAGATAGACACTCCCCCCATGGATGACTGGGTCAGAGTATCTACCGTACTGAAGTTTAGATAGACACTCCCCCCATGGATGACTGGGTCAGAGTATCTACCGTACTGAAGTTTAGATACTCCCCATGGATGACTGGGTCTCACACACATTTGCACATAGCTTTGGGGTTTCCACCAGCCTACTCTACTCCCATCTCAGCGGCACCTCACCAGCTGCAGGGGGATAGTCACAGGGGGGGGGTGAGACCTAGCATGCATACCAAATGGCACCCTATGGACCCTGGTCAAAAGTAGTGCACTATAAAGGGAAAAGGGTGCCATTCGAGGTGAGACCCAGTCAACCATCCAGGTATGTATGGGGAGAACTAGTGGGGCTCCCCTCCTCCCTGCCCTGTGAAACTCCTCTCTGCTTTTACTGTAATGGACTGTTTACAAGGTGACTGGAACCCATCGATAAGAAACTCCTCTCTGCTTTTACTGTAAAGGGCTAAGTGTAATATAACTGGAAGTTATATCGATATGAAAGTCAGGATTATTTTTTGGCACATTTGGGATCTTAAAAAAAAATATATATATATCACTTTTACTATCAGAGGACGGACTACATTGGTAAATACTGGAATAGCCTGTGTGTGTGTCTGTGTGTGTGTGTGTGTCTGTGTGTGTGTGTGTGTGTCTGTGTGTCTGTCTGTGTGTGTGTGTGTGTGTGTGTGTCTGTGTGTGTGTGTGTCTGTGTGTGTGTGTCATCATCTTCTTGCTGTTCCTGTGTATTTCATCAGAAACCTACACCATGAAATACTGTATTTTATATGTCCTCTAGTCTACTACATAGGCAACATGTAACCTTACGTGGAAGGTTTCACTTCATAATGTTTCCACCATTTTAAAGTTATTGTTGTTGTTGTTGTTTTGGGTTGTTGTTGTTGTTGTTGTTTCACACGGTAGCATGAAAAGAAAACCCTCAGACCCAAACAGCGTCTGCTAGAAGAATCCACCACAGAGAAACATGTTCTGCCTTCACAGGCATTCAGAAGAGCTTAACGGACAAGACCAGAATCCAACCCAATATGTACCCTATTCTCTTTTTAATGCACTACTTTAGACCAGGGCCCATGGTGAAAGTAGTTGCTGCACTATATGGAATAGGGTCAGGCCCTGGTCGGTGTTGATCTGTATCGGATCTGAAACCCCCCACTTTTAGAGAAAAGTCCCTGTGCTGTGGTCACTCCATTCCTGGGAAAATCACCGTAGGAGGCGTACGGACGTTTCAACTAACCACAACCAGATGAATCACTGTGGAGAATTTAACCTTTGATCAGTAGATCTTTA